TCATCAATTAGTTCCAGTTTTTTTTTACTATGGTGAAAAAGACATAATGAGACCTAATGTCAACAATTTTTAAGTATATAGTACAATATTGTCAACTGTAAGCACAGTGTTGTACAACATATCTCTTTCCATCTTGCATGACTGAAATTCTATACCCATTGAACAGCAACTCCCCATTTTCTCCTCTCCTCAGCCCTTGGCAACCACCATTTTAATTTTTGTTTCTATGAACTTGACTACTTTGGATATTGCTTTTGGTGGAATCAAGTGGTATTTGCCTTTTTGTGACTGGTTTGCTTCACTGACAGTAATGCCCTCAAGGATACCCATGTTGTAGCATATGACAGGATTGTCTATTTATGGCTGAATAATATTCCACTGTATGTATATACCACATTTTCTTTTTCCTCTCATCCACCAGTGGACACTCAGGTTGTTTCCATATCTTGGCTCTTGCAAATAATGCTGCAAGACTTGGGTGTGCAAATATCTCTTCAAGTTCCTGATTTAAATTCTTTTTGGATAAATACCCAGAAGTTGGATTGCTAGATCATTCGGCCATTCTTTTTTTTTTTTGGAACTTCAACACTGTTTTCTTAGTGGTTGATCCATTTTACATTCCCACCAACAGTGCACAAGCGTTCTGTTTTTTCTTCACCCTCACCAACACTTACTATTTCCAGTTTCATTTTGTTTTTTATAATGACCATCCTAGTAGGTATGAGATGATGTCTCACTGTGGTTTTGATTTGCATTTTCCTGATGATTAGTGATGTAGTTCTCATTCTTTAATGGATACCTTAGGATTTTCTATATACAAGATAATGTCATCTGCAAATAGAGATAGTTTTACTTCCTCCTTTCCAATCTGGATGCCTTTAATTCATTTCTTGCCTAATTTTCCTGGCTAGAATACCCAGGATAATATCAAATAGAAGTGGCAAGAATGGATATCCTTGTCTTGTTCCTGAACTTTCACCATTAAATATGATGTTGGCTGTAGGATTTTCACAGATGCTGTTTATCAGATGGAGGAAGTTCCCTTCTATTTCTAGTTTGTTGCATGTTTTTATCATGAGAAAGTGTTGGATTTTGTCAAGGGCTTTTTCTGCATATATTAAGCTGATTATATGGAGTTTTCTCCTTTGTTCTAATAATATAATATATGACATTCAAATTTATTTTCAGATGTTAAACCAACCTTGCATTCCTGAGATAAACCTCATTTGGTCAAAGTCTGTTATCTTTTTTATAGTTGCTGGATTTTGTTTGCTAATATCTGTTGGTATTTTCACCTCTAAATTCATAAACAACATGAATGTACAGTTTTGTTTTTATTGTGATGTCTTTGTCTGGTTTTGGTATCAGGCTCATATTGGCTTTTTAGAGTTGGCCAAGTGTTCCCTCTTCTATTTCTTGGAAGAGTTTACAAAGAAATGGTGATAATTCTTCTTTAAATGTTTGGTCAAATTCACCAGTGAAGCCATTTGGGCCTGGGCTTCTTTTCATGGAAAGCTTTTTTTGTTACTAATTCAATTTCTTTACTTGATATAGACCTATTCAGATTTTCTAGTTCTTCTTGAAATTTGGCAGTTTTTGTCTTTCTAGGACTTCATCCATTCCATCTAAGTAATCTAAATTACTGGCATACAGTTGTTCATAGTATTTATTTCTGTAAGGTTGGTAGAAATGTCCCCAAGGGGGTCTAATAACAAATTGGCTTTAATTAAATATAAGATGCAATAAATCCATTGAACCTCAAATATCTTGTTTGGTGTCAGGTACTATGTTTTAAATTTCTTTCATTGGGGCACCTGGGTGGCTCAGTGGGCTGGGCTTCTGCCTTCAGCTCAGGTCATGATCCCAGGGACCTGGGATCGAGACCCACATTGGGCTCCCTGCTCAGTAGGGTGTCTGCTTCTCCCTCTCCCTCTGCTCCTCCTCCCTGCTTGTGTTCCCTCTCTATCTCTCTCTCTCAAATAAATCAATAAATAAACGTTTTTATGTTGCTTATAAGAAAAGCTATCTGTAAAAATAGACTCCAGAAATTACTGATCAGGTTTAGCAAAAACTTCACATGTGGCTTGTCCAGAATAGACAAATCTATAGAGACAAAAATTAGGTTGATGGTTGCCAGGGATGAGGGGTGTAGGAAGGAGATAGGGAGTGACTGCTAATGAGTGTGGGGTTTTGATCTTGGGGTGATAAAAATCTTCCAGAGGGTTCTAGAGGGGGGGGAGGATGGGTTAGCCTGGTGATGGGTATTAAAGAGGGCACGCTCTGCATGGAGCACTGGGTGTTATACACAAACAATGAATCATGGAACACTACATCAAAAACTAATGATGTAATGTATGGTGATTAACATAACAATAAAAATTTTTTTTAAATCTTCTGGAATTAGATAGTGGTGATTAATACACAACTTTGTGAATACAGTGAAGAATGGAACCACTGAACTGTACACTTTAAAAAGGTAAACTTTAGGGGTGCCTGGGTGGCTCAGTCATTAAGTGTCTGCCTTCGGCTCAGGTCATGATCCCAGGGTCCTGGGATCGAGCCCCACATCGGGCTCTCTGTTCCCCGGGAAGCCTGCTTCTCCCTCTCCCGCTCCCCCTGCTTGTGTTCCCTCTCTCGCTGTGTCTCTGTCAAATAAATAAATAAAATCTTAAAAAAAAAAAAAGATAAACTTTAGGAGTACCTGGGTGGCTCAGATGGTTAAGCATCTGCCTTCAGCTCAGATCATGATCCCATGGTCCTGGGATCGAGCCCCATGTCAGGCTCCTTGCTCAGCGGGGAGTCTGCGTCTCCCTCTCCCTCTGCCCCCCACTCATTCTCTCTCTCTCTCTCTCTAGTGCTCGCTCTTTATCAAATAACAAATAAAATTTTTAAAAAGACAAACTTTATATAATATGTATTTTATTTTAATAAGTGTTTTTTAATGAAAAATTTTTAAAGATTTTATTTATTTAATTGACAGAGAGAGAGAGAGACAGAGAGAGAGGGAACACAAGCAGGGGGACTGGGAGAGGGAGAAGCTGGCTTCCCACTGAGCAGGGAGCCCGATGCGGGGCTCGATCCCAGGACCCTGGGATCATGACCTGAGCCGAAGGCAGTCGCTTAACCAACTGAGCCACCCAGGTGCCCCAAAAGTGTTTTTTTTTAAAGATTACATGTGGCCTTACTCTGTTCCTAATTTTAAGGAAGTAAATGCTTTGTTTTCCTACCACTCAATGAAAAGGCATAAGAGCTCTTTGCTGTCAATTTATTTTGTTATCAATTTAAAATATAAACCCTTTTTATAAGAATTATGAACTATACTTTTGTAATTATGAGAAATTATTAATCATGGCTGGTGTGGGAGTTTAATGATAGTTCATCCATTTTACTTGTTCATCATTTCAAATGAACCTGATTTACAATGAAATTTATGAGATTTCCCATTCAAAATTTCTTTTATTCCTTCAAACTGTAAAAAGCTGATACAGCTTTTAGTTTTTGAGATAGCCAACACAATTTTCTATCTTCCTCCTGCAGAAGTTAAAAAAAAACAACCTTAAATTAAAACAACAAAAACAGTACTTAAGCAGTTTCTAGACCTAAACATATCTTGGAACTTTGTTAATATTTCACAATTACTCCATTGCAGAATTTTGTATTGGCCTTGCCAACATTCCTAAAACTGGTTTTCTCTTGAAGCTTCTATTTCAAAGACTCAACTGAAGAAACAGAGTATGTCCCCCAAGTCTGGCCTCGACCTTCTGGTGCCATGACCGACTATGGTGCTAACATCAGGTACCACCCCCTCAGGGTCAGGATGACAACCGGAGAGGTATAAGAATGGGGGGACGGGGGCGCCGGCTCAGGTCATGATCTCAGAGTCCTGGGATCGAGTCCCACATCGGGCTCCCTGCTCAGCGGGGAGCCTGCTTCTCCCTCTGCCTCTGCCTGCTGCTTCCTCTGCTTGTGCTCTCTCTCTGTCAAAAATAAATTTAAAAAAAAAATTAAAAAAAAAGAATGGGGGGACGACTTGGCATCTATCTGAGTTGAAGGGCCTTTTACATAACACCTGGTACTCCTGTTTCTTTGCATTTGAAGCATTCCCCCTTTTTTTTAAAAAAGGATTTTATTTATTTATTTATTTGACAGAGATAGAGCACACAAGCAGGCAGAGGGAGAAGCAGGCTTCCCACGGAGCAGGGAGCCCAATGCAGGGCTCCATCCCAGGACCCTGGGATCATGACCTGAGCCGAAGGCAGCCGCTTAACGACTGAGCCACCCAGGCACCCCTGAAGCATCCTTTTTATTGTTCAATCAGAGAATAGGAAAGAATTAATTTTTCAATGTTTTCACAATGAAGACTTTTTAATCTCAAAAGCAATACCAGGTGTGCCTGGGTGGCTCAGTCGGTTAAGCGTCTGCCTTTGGCTCAGGTCATGAACCTGGGGTCCTGGGATCAAGCCCCATATCAAGCTCTCTGTTCAGCGGGGAGTCTGCTTCTCCCTCTCATTCTGTGCTCTCTCCCTCTCAAATAAATACATTTTAAAAATCTTGGGGCGCCTGGGTGGCTCAGTCGTTAGGTGTCTGCCTTCGGCTCAGGTCATGAACCCGGGGTCCTGGGATCGAGCCCTGCATCAGGCTCCCTGCTCCACGGGAAGCCTGCTTCTCCCTCTCCCACTCCCCCTGCTTGTGTTCCCTCTCTCGCTGTCTCTGTCAAATAAATAAATAAAATCTTCAAAAAAATTTTTTAATTAAAAAAATAAAAATCTTAAAAAAAAAGCAATACCTGCTCATTGTATATTAAATCCTGAAAGATCCATAAAAACAAAGTTAATCATTTCACCACCAACCCTGCATTCTCATTGCCCTGGGGTAAGCAGTGTGAACACCTCTTTTTTTCTTTAAAAAAAAAAACCCTTTTTTGGTTGTTTTTAGTAGAGTTGACACACGATGTTAGTTTCAAGTAAGATGACAGCAGCTTAATGTGTATTCCTACGCACCTGGTAAAGAATATCCTAAATGTGGGTGTTTCCCAGACAGCCAAAAAAGGTCCTGGCCAACAAAAGCATTCCAAGGAAGAATGAGCCTAAACAAGAGAATAAAAAGAAAGCCAACGGACTGGTAAGGGTGTGGGAAATCTTTTTGAGGTGATGGAAATACTCGAAAAGCAGATTGAGGTAATGGTTGCACGACTCCATGAATTTGCTCAAAGTCATAATTTGAGCACGGAAATGGGTGAATGTAAATTATACCTCAATGAAGCTGGGTTTTGGGGGGTTTTTTTGTATTTGTTTTTTATTTTATTTTTTTTAAAGATTTTATTTATTTATTTGAGAGAGAGAGAATGAGAGATAGAGAGCATGAGAGGGAAGAGGGTCAGAGGGAGAAGCAGACTCCCCGCCGAGCAGGGAGCCCGATGTGGGACTCGATCCCGGGACTCCAGGATCATGACCTGAGCCGAAGGCAGTCGCTGAACCAACTGAGCCACCCAGGCGCCCTGTATTTGTTTTTTAAAGCAGCAAGGGGGACGGGAGGAAAACCAGCATGGGTATGAGAGAAGGACTCTGCCCTTTGGAAGCTACAGAATAATTCCCCTTCAGGGATGTCCACACCCAACCCCTGGAACCTGTGAATACACTCTCTTACAAGGTAAAAGGACTTTGCAGATGTAACTAAGCCTACAGACCCTAAAATAGGGACAGTAGCCTGGATCATCCAGGTGAGCCCGATCTAATCACGTAAGCAGAGAACTTTCCCAGATGGAAGCCAGAGAGATGTGGCAGAAGAAGTCAGAGATTCGACGCGTTGCTGCTGGTTCCGGGATGGAGGGCTGTGTGCAAGTGTAGGAGTGAGGCCTCCAGGAGCTGAGGGGGACCCCCAGCAGAGAGCAGCCAGGAAAACGGGGACCTCAGTCCTACCTACAGCCACAGTAACCTAGATGCCGTCAACAACCTAAATAAGCAGATTCTCCACAGAGCCTCCAGAGTCCAGCTGGCAGCCACTTGAATTTCAGCCTGGTGAATCCCAGAGCAGAAAGATCAGTTGAGCCAACCTTGACTTCTAAACTACAGAACTTGCGAGACAATAAATATGCGTTAAGTCTCTAAGTTTGTAGTGACTTGTTAGGGCAGTAGTAGAAAACTAATAGGATACCTAAACTATAAATCTGATGGCAGACCCCATTTCAAACCTTTTATTTTTTTTTTAAAGATTTTATTTAGTTATTCTGACAGAGAGAGAGAGAGAGAGACAGCGAGAGAGGGAGAAGCAGGCTTCCCACTGAGCAGGGAGCCCGATGCGGGGCTTGATTCCAGGACCCTGGGACCATGACCTGAGCCGAAGGCAGACGCTTAACGACTGAGCCACCCAGGTGCTCCCATTTCAAACCTTTTAATGACCTTTATTGCCTAAAACCAAATAGTCTAATTTCCTTAATGTAGCACGGATGGCCCTCCGTGACCTGACCCCTGAGTCACTCATTAGCCAGAGGTTACATACCCACCTGCATGCACTCTGCTACCTCTCCTCTCCCTTCTGCTCCCTCATACGCCTTTCTCGTTCTTTTGGACTACGCTCAAGCCTCACCTCTTCCAGGAAGACTCTCCTGTCTCTGTTCCATAGCACCCTCTGGATAGTTCCATCATTATAATAGAGTATGATAATAATAATACAATGTATAATTACACTTCCAAAGTATTACAACGAACTATTTGTGTGCATGTGCTCTCCACTTAGGCTGTAACTTCCTTCGGGGCAGGATCAAGTCTTACTCATCTTTGCTTCCCCCAAGGCCCTGCACACAGTGGGTGCTCAATAAATATTATGTACATGTCCCATTTGGAAGAAAGAGTTTTGGTAACCAATAAAGAAGCTCATTATTCTAGAAACAGGTTAGATCCTGAAGTGCTGTTCACATGTCCGTTCATTTGTAAGGAAGCGAGCTGGGGTTGGGCTTGCGTCCCTGAGAAACCATGAAACGGGACTATAAGTTTTGTTAGAACAAGCTCCTCTTATCCTCCTTAAAGATGTTTTACAGGACACTGCTGTCGACATCTGTGGCAGAAGAAAACCTCCTTCCTTTATATCTCGATGTCAGTGGGGGTACCTCCTCGAAGCCACATCCATCCACGGTTGCCACCTGGTTATTCATCTGGATGCTGTCTCTGTCGGAGGGGCCTTGGCATATGAACCCACCAGTCGGGTGACTAAAGTTTCCACACAGAACCTTCACCAAGACAAACCTGTTAAGTTTTCCTAACTGATATCAAGCGGATAGGCGTTGGAGCGCATTTGGCAATCGCTTTTCCTCTTCTCTTGATGATTAATGTCAATGACTCATTTCTGCAGGTTGCATCACTGGATCTTTGTTTTTCAGGATGGACTTCTACGGGGGAGAAATTCATCCTGTAGACACATGACTCTTCACCATTTTCTTATGACTTACAATTACTTATTGCTACCAGCACACTTTCTCCTTAGTACTTTTAACCCTGATGAGGGATGGCAGGGTTCACAACGTTTGTAAAACACCTCCAAACCAAGCACAAACCCAGGAAACACACCAAAGATTAAGAGATAATGCTGATGCTGAGTAATGCTAAAATGCACGCACAAAACCACTAATTCCATCTGTTGGTTCAAGCAGAGTTGGCACATGCTTTTTCTCGGGTACAGCTTGGTTTTTCCTATAAAGGTTTAGAAGTTGAACAAGTGGAGAAAACTTTGTGCTTTGACTTGAAATTAAAATAGTGTTATCATGTTATAGCACGCACATTTAGAGGCAAATGTTCAAAATGTTCACCACTAGCTTCCACAGATTGTTGAGAATGATAAATCCTGAACTGACAAGCATTTTGTTTTCTACACTTTCTCTCTGATCTCCTCTTTTCCATAAACAAGCACTGGATAAGCTCTGTCTCCAATCTGTCCTGTAACCTAGAGGTGGCTGTGTGTGTTAGTGAATGAGTTTCATATTTGTGTTGCCAGCATTGCAGAGCCCTTGTTAACATTTTCCTTTTCCTTCACATCCATTCACAGTGCTCAAACATCAGGTACAATCCTGACATTATCAGGAGACAGGACAAATTATCACATTTTATCTATTTTTGTAGCTGTCCTCATCAACATTCAAATGTGTAAATGTTTTCCTGCGACACTCTGAAGCTGAGTAACATGATAGAATACTCTCTTCTGGCAGAAAATCCAATCTTCTTATCCAGCCCTCAGGATTTCTTTATAATCTGCCCCTTGGGTTCATCTCCACACAACTATTCTTCACCCCTTCACTTCAGGCAAATTCACTGTCTCTGGCTTTTGGTTTTCTCATCACTCCCTTCTACCTATTCAAACCCAGCCCATATCCCTGAGGTCCCAATTTTTCCATAAAGCTATTCCTCTTCTGAACCTCTAAATATCAAGAATCTGACAATTTAGCCACAAATTGGATGTCTCTACCTTATACTTCAAGAAAAGATTTGCTGTTAAAAATTGGGTTGAAATTAAAATGGCATGTTAAATACTGGTATTTACCTCTGTTCCTGCCAGATAATAATGTAGCAGTAAGAAGATTTTTCTAATGCCACAAACCTACAAGCACAATATGAATGGGAGAGAAGACGGTGGAACACAATTTTTAAAGCCAGTTAATAGATGGACAGGTGGTAACTGGTTTACTAGAAGAACTGAGAAAGCAGAATCTAGAGCTGGCAGTGGAAAAAACAAGTCAACAGATTCCCTTTGCAGAAGCCACAAAGGACAGAGAGATTGGGACCTTCGGGCAGGCAATTGGAAGAGCTTTCTGCAGGGAATCTGGCCAAACCAAGAAGAAAGACCTGAAGACAGAGACATCAGGAGCTCCCTCATGGCCAGCTGGGTCCCTGCGGTGAAGACCACAGGAGGAGGCTGCCCACACGTGCAGAACTTTCGCTTGGTTTGTAGCTAGCCCATGCTTCCGTATGAGCCGACACCCAGGATTCATCAGACATTTGAGGAAAGCAACCAATCTATAAAAAACAGAGGCCAAATGCTTGAATGGATAAACAAAATATGATACACACACACAAATAATGAAATATTATTCTGCCTAAAGAAGGAAGGAAATTCGGACACATCCTACAACATGGAGGAGGCTTGAGGACCTTATACTAAGGGAAACAAGCCAGTCACATAAAGGCAGATGCTATGTGATTCACTTACATGAGGTACCTGGAGCAGTCAAATTCAGAGACAGGAAGTAGAATGTGGTTGCCAGGGGCTGGGGGTGGGGGACAAGGGAATGGAGAGTTGCTGTTTAATGGGTACAGAGTTTGGGTTGGGGAAGATGAAAGGAGTTCTGGAAATGGGCTGCCCAACAACACGAAGGTACTTAACACCACTGAGCTGTACACTTGGAGATGGCTGAGGCAATAAATTTTATGTTACTCTTATAAAGTCCCAGGTATGCAGAACTAAACTGATTGCTTAGACATCTATCTGTGGGAGGAAAAACTACCAAGAGAAGCAAGAAAGTGGTCATCACAACAGTCAGGACGGTCACTGGGCCTCCGAGGGAGGGACCCACCTCGCCAAGATGTTGGCAATCTTTTATTTCTTGATCTACGTGATAGGTTTTCTCAGTACACATTTCTACTGTAAAAGAATAAAAAATACATAGGGAATGAAGTTCCCTATGGAGCCCAACACAGTGAATGGAAAGAGATCCAGACCAAGAAGTTTTATTTTTGTTTTTGTTTTTGTTTTTAAGTAATCTCTAGGCTCTGGGTCTCAAGGCCCTGAGATCAAGAGTTAGTTGCATGCTCTACCAGCTAAGCCAGCCAGGCGTCCTGGACCAAGAAGTCCTGGGGAAGATCCCTGCATGCTTCCAGAGAAACAAAACAGTTTTCTAATAGTCATGAACCAGAATGGAACTGGATTTCTCAATGCTGACAACAGGAGCCAGAAGACACAGCTGTGCATTCAAAATACTGAGGACAAATGATTTCAAATCTTGAATACTCTACCCAAGCTATTAAGTGTGAAGGTAAAATAAAGACATTTTTAGACATACAAAGTCTCCAAAATGCATGCTTACTTATCAGAGTACTAGAG